ATAAACAAACCGATAACAAATCGGGTAGCTTACAGGATTTGAGATATCAATGTTTTGTAGCAGGATAGTTGTGATAACACTCTCAGGGATATATAAACACCTGCTTAGCACACTTCCGTTCATTCCACATGGTGTTGCAGTGGCAGCTGAGAGAGGAAGGGAGGATGAGGAAGGGAAGCGAAAAATCTACCGTCATATCATGATTGTGTCCCTTCTACTGTTTGAAACACCATTGTGTTGCATACGCGTCACTTCCACGAGGTGTTGGTGTCACAGGAGGAAGGGACCATAGCGGAGGATAGAAAGCTTGCGCAGGAAAGGAAGGTCCCGGCGGTTGACGGGGGACTAATCTGGTAAAAGATAAGTGCAGAAAAGTTTATTATCATAATAATCAAGTGGATGTGTGATATGGAGGCAGCACTCAATCTAGGGCCATCGTTTGCTGTATCAGAGTCGTTGAACAACAGGACGATGAACGCTGTTTAGTTGGCTTCAACAAATTTGCGTATCAATTGCGGTGGCGGGAAAGCATTGGTTCGACCGTCCTTGATAGAGATTCAACAATTCTGACAGCAGCACCATTCCCAAAAGCTGGTTTTAGTGTCCCAAAACAAATACCCACTTTGGAACCATTATTAACTTCGCTACAACTAAAACTCAAAGAGGTCTATTCAACAGCAGGGCAAATAAAATTTGGTTCCAACTTGACGGAACAGGAACTACGAGGGCTCAAAAAACTCATGGCTAAAAGAGGAGAGCTTAGGTATAGCATTGGAGATAAAAGTGGCGACTTCGTCGTTATGACCAAATCTATGGACAAAGCTATCACTTACCGCAGTTTAGAAGATAGCAGTACCTATATAGAAACATCCATTCAAGCATTTGAACAGGCTGCCGGACGGCTGGGAAAAACCATCAAAACTATATTAGATAAAAAGCTGGATGCAAACAGTACAAGCATTATCTGGACCCTCCAAATAATCCTACTACACCCATGGTAACGACGCCATAAATGCGGGACACGGTATGACAGTTAACCTGACAGGACATAAACTCTCCCATTACTCTAGTTGTGGTGGTCCATCAGATAGGATCAGTTGGTTATTGGTTAGGCTCTTCTCCCCACTACTGCATCATGTTCCCTCATATATTTCCAATACAAACGACTTCATAAATTCCCTCAACCAATGCGATATCCCAAATAATGTCAACTATGCAAGTTTTGATGATGCAGTTTCCCTGTATACCAACATCAACACATCGTTGAGGCCTCTTCTACAATTGGAGGGAATATAGAGAGAAGGGTTACGCGGGCGGAGGACAACCCTCTTCCGGATTACTTATGGCAACTTTAGAGTGCAATATTTTCCAGTTTGATGGCAAGTTATACAAGCAACACCGAGGGTTAGCCATGGGGCTAAGAATAGCACCCTTACTAGCCATAGTATTTCTCGATCGTTTGGAACGTAGATGTCTGACGGCTGGAATAGCATTGTACAAGCGATATATTGACGATGTGTTCATTATTGGCTCTTCCACGAGGGATTTAGAAGACACGCTAAGAAACCTCAATTCACAGGATCCCAACATTAAATTCACGGTTGAAGAGCCAAATGAGGAGGGTTTTGTACCGTTTCTCAACACCAAAGTTCGCATCAACGAAGGAGAGAAGGAACTTCAATGGTACAAGAAACCTGCATCTAGGAATATACTTTTACATGCTAGAAGTTGCCACCCCATCTACATGAAGGCCAACGTCGTCCGCAATCTGATTTCGACCAAGGATAAAGTCTGCAGTCAGCCTTCAAGTGAAGTAGACATAATGGTGGAACGTATTTTGAGAGAAAACGGATATTCCAATACAAACTTGCGGTCATGGAGACCGTACTCCACACCTGATGGGATCACCATGATAATGCCGTATGTTAACGAAAAAATAGCATGGAAGGTCAACAATGTCGTAAGGAATTCCTCACTCCCAGTACGACTTGTGTTCCGCCCACCCCCGAACTTGAAGCGACTGCTGACATACTCCAGACCTTACGAGGATAAATGTGGGAGGAATGGTTGCATCTACTGTAAGGACGACAAAATATGCCAACTAAGAGGTACAGTTTATGCAATAGAATGCCAAGGATGTGGGCATAAGTATGTTGGAGAAACAAGAAGACCTCTCCACAAACGACTCGATGAACATCGGAGGGCTCTACAAAATCCGGCCTCATATCCAGGTAACAGCTTCTCCAAACATAGAACCCAACAACATGCCCAAGGGGATCCACCCACCCTCAACGTAAAAGTCCTACACCGTTCCGTTGAAAACACAGTGGAACGCAAAATACTGGAGGCTCTGGAAATAAAAAGACTAGCCCCGGAAATAAATAGCAGAGACGAGTTACGTGACTCTCTTCAACTCATCGCATGACTGCAGTTATCATCACTGTGGAATGAATGCGATATTTTGGGAAATAACGGTCGTAGCACGTCAACGCTATTTAAGGGTAAGTAGTAGGACAGTTCCTGCTTCACAGACCGACAAGGGTGGTAAGTGTTACACTTTTGAAAGTGGACAGCAGGTGGGTCAGTTAATATATTTTAATATATTAACAGACTTTAAGAAAGCTTATAATTTTCATTTCAGGCTCGACAAAGGCGCTAAGCGCCGAAAGCTCGCCAAAAAGGCTTAAACTTTTGCAAAACTTTTGCAAACACTCATTTTTGCAATCTCTTTTGTAGAAAGTTTTGAGTCTTTTGCAATAAAATTTTGAAGTCTCACATTGTTTAATACACATTTAGATCATCTGCTTGGTTGTCAGTATTGGCTCTCATGTACAGCCGAGCCAAACATGTCCATGATACTATGCATCGCTTATAGCTCCACCAGGTGTTTGTCTTGCCTGGCGAGCATCACTTCATGAGGATAAAGAAGCCTCCATGGAACGTGCTTCGAATTTTCTCGCGAAATGGCATCCATGACGCCAAAGAATAGGAGGGGTTGAGCGCAAAGCCTCGGTGTACACCGAAAGTGTGTGAATCCATCGAAGTGCCTGCTACGTTGTACGCGAGTCTTTTGTGCGATAAATAATGCGCCCTCACCAGTAGCTCTTCGGAACATACGTGCTGTCGCAAACAATACCATAAAAGTTCTCGGTTCTCGATAACGCTGGGGACGCTAGTGATCGCTTACATGAACCGTGACGAATTCCATCTACACTAAAGAGTCTTTCCAGAGGAGACTTCCAAGAGGAACCAATTAATTAGCACTTGGCTTTTGAGACGAGTAAGCTTAGCTTGTACCAGAAACCCAATTCATAGATAGCATATATTCTCAAACTTATGTACGGTTTTGAATGAATGCCAAATGACTAGTGCATCAAAAAGATATCAATTAGCTGTAAGTAGTGTCCCTCATTTACTCCGTCTCGAACCTTCATATCTACCAGTCCGCTAAAAGTCCTTTAACCGGCTATATTTCCGAAGAATCCTATACCCTTGTGTTTATAGATATGGGTATGAAACTGCGGTCTGGTGTCAGCGATACGAGCTGTTTTGTAACGAAAAACAGCGACGAAATAAGGCCAGCGAGCTGGTGACCCTGATGGATGGAGCCGTCAAAGTCCATTACAGGTGGATTTCTTGGTTTAGAGTTGAGAATCATTAGTCATGTAAAACAGCCATGAGCGGAACGCTATTTGTCGAAAACTAAGGGGTAATTTTAGCGCTGTGAGTAAAGAAACACAGTGGTTGGACGTGAAACTCCGTTATAGTGCAATCCTCATGTTCGGCTCCAAAAAGCTACCAAACATGCCTTCAAACGGATTTAGCTGATAGCTATCGAATTCATCTGAGAGCTTGAAAGCAACTACATAATTGAGCACGAAGTAGCTATCGCAATTGTCAAATGCGCATTCCAATACGATCCGATTCTGAATCGGGATCCGGTGCATGGCTATCTGTATCAATTTGAGTGGCGTTCATGGTCGAGCTTCTTGTTGCTCCACCGAGTGGACCGACATTTCATGTTTGTTTTAGATGCATGCACTTATTCAACCTTCCTAAAGTAATATGTGACCCTTTTCGACGGCAATTCGACTATAATCGTTGCACAAAAGTGAGTTTAGATTGTTGGCTTCAAAACTCTCCTGCTTAGCTTGCCTTTTTTCGAGGTGTCTCAATTTTTAGCGGCTTATAGATATTCAGATAAATTCCTTGATTTCTTCTCAATATAACATTATAATTGTGAAGGTGAAGCGAGGAAGTAAGCAAACCAGCCCCTTTTTGGCGCGTTTCTGCTGGAGCCGTATGCTGAATGTTTAATAGCGGATGGATCCCACGACCTCGACGGCTACTTTAAAGGACGAATTCACTCACGCTGGAAAGGCAACCCATTTCAAATTAAGTTAGCGATGGTGAGTGGTACACTAAAGAAGGAAAAACCATGCGAAACGGCCCAGAACCTGAGAAATGGGACCACTTCCTTGCCCGTTGATTTGAGCATTGATGCGACTATCATCGCTGTGCCCTCTTCAACGCTACGCTCTCTCACCTATCTAATCACTCACCACGTATAGACCTGCGGCGAGTGATCAGATGATCGGTGGGCGTGCACTGACCAGCCGCGGCGGGATTAAACCTTAATAGGTCAACGAGGTCAACTCCTCCTGTGCAAATTGTGCTTCAGTTCGCACACTTAGGAGCTCCGCGGGTCCCTCAACCAGGTGAATTCTTCCTAATTCGATTTTCCCTCTGATCGCGAATTCGTCCTAAGTATAACTTCAGGCCATAAAACCGCACGTAATCTGACTACTCACCTCAGGATAACCAGTGCGCAGGTCTTTCAGGCGTGACCGAGCTTTTTGATAAAACGGTCTATTTGCATGATCAACGGGCATGGTGAATATATGGACCCCAAGATCGAACCAGAACCATGTTTAATTTTTCCTGAACGGCCCTCTGAATACCAGAAAAGGGGGTCCCTAGTTCGATTCCTCTTGGTGACAAATTTTTGCATTTCGAGTTGACGTTCCAAAATTCGCGCAAAATGGAGTTCTGATTGTTCTGGTTGGTTCTAACTCCATTTTGCGCGAATTTTGGCACGTCAACTCGAAATGCAAAAATTTGTTACCACGAGGAATCGAACTAGGGACCTCCTTTTCTGGTATTCAGAGGGCCGTTCAGGAAAAATTGAACATGGTTCTGTGGTTCCCGCATCTGCCCCTATATCATGCAAAAGACCGTTTTCAAAAAGCTTGTCACGCCCTGAAAGACCTTCCTGGTAAGCGCTAAAAAGAGGAAGACCTGCGAGGGAAGCGGCAGGTGCATCATCTCTCCAGCTTAGTCTGGGATACAGCAAACCAGCCCTTTTGCGGAGCTGCTGCCTAGCGCAACGATCTCGTAATTCACCTCCTACTTAAGCAACCCGTTGACCCTCGGGGGACCCAATCCTACCCCTCCCAACCTTGAGCATGACGCGCCAGCGGATGTAACGCCGAGAGAGCTTCGGTTTGCATAAAAAGCGAAGCGAAGACCGTGACAAGTGGTAGCGCTTCCCATTCGCTTGGTCCACGACTTGGCTTCTTTTTCTAACCAGCTGAGCATTTCTAAGCGAGTTACTTCATTCATAGTAGCTCCAACGTTGATTATGTACTTGGTCAGGAACCAAAGTGGAAACTTATATCAAAAACCTTTCGTAGCCTATGACTAACATCACATTTTTACTTGCCCCTCAAGTGTTGAACCATCATCGAAGCAAAGCATGTGCTCTTTCCTGCGCGAGACCTGTTGTGCACGACTGCGGGCTCAATATTACTACCACACAATTCTACCCCTCGTGGGAGTAGGATTCGTCGATTTGGTAATTGGTACTATCTGATGCCAAAAGTCCGCAATCACGACACGTCTCCCAGCGGGAAACTTTTACTTCCAACCCTTGCACTTAAAACGATTAACATTACGTCATTCCCTTTTGATCGAATCGGCTTTAGTTTTTGTTCGACTGTGAGCTGATTTCGGAGTGGGAGAGTGAAGAAGAAGCTGGCAAGGAGACTCCTGAAGGCACAGGCGAGATCGCTCCACCAGGCTAGTTTGATTCAATTTTATTTTCTTGTACTGCCAAGGTTATCAGTTCTGGAATAGGGGCAGATGTAATGTCGGGGCAAAGACTTCCCATAAGCTCAGTTCGGGATTCATTGCTCGGATCAGATCTCTTCTAGGTCAACCAAACCTTTCTACTCCTCCGTGGCTCGGTTACTTGGTACCAGACTTGTCTGCAAGGATAAAAACACTGACTTGTACATCGGCTGGCCCCCGCAAGTCATTGTATAGGCCACATCGCATTCAAATGCCACTACGAATGCAATGGAAGTAGAATGCGTGCCGCATCCCAAAATCAGGATTGGTCAACTTCAAAAGCTTTATCATTTGTCCTTTCACTGCTTTCGAAGACGGAGGTGGTGTGTGGGACAGACCGACATTATCGATATGGCCTGTACTTTCAAGCCTCAACTAAAAGCGGTTATTCCATCATTCAAGCGTTCTTCAGTACAAGATTTCGTTACGTCCAAGAGGGAAAATCAGCGATTCGATACTCCGCCAATTGGGTAAAGCTCACCATTATCTCCCCGAAATGCCTAATATATATAAGACCATGGCGTATCACAAAAGGATGAATCAGGGCCAGCCAACCGCGCCTCTTCTTTTTTACCCAGTTTGAAAGTTGAAACAAGTGGTGTTTTTTTCGAGTTTTCAGTTTTCTTGCTTAATTTTCCCTTTTTGCATAGTCTCTCTCGTCGGCCTGCCAGCTAAAAATTACTTGCAGAGGGGCCAAAGAAGGTCCTCACGCCAACGCCAGAGGATCAAAAGTTGGCAGAGAAAATTGCCGAAGAAGAAAAGGCGTTGGAGCGGCTACTGAAGGAGAAGGAAAACGAGGACAAGGGAAAGGTTCGAGTATTTCACAGAAACTGTTTTCTGAAAATAAAATTAAATCATCTTGCTAAAGCTTTCAGCCTCGCGGTCATTGCCGATATCGGCTA